TCCTGCCTCAGCCTCCCAAAGTTGGGATTACAGGCATGAGCCACCACACCCAGCCCTATCTCTCTTTTTCGATCTAATAATATTTGCTTATATATCTGGGTGCTGCAGTGTTGGGTGCCTATAAATTTAGAATTTTATATCTTCTGGCTGAATTGATCCCTTTATCATTCCATAAAGACCTTCTTTGCCTCTTCTGCAGTTTTTTACTTAATATCTGTTTTATTTAAGTACGGCTACTCTCACTTGCTTTTGGTTTCTGTTTGTGTGCAGTATTTTTTTTTTCATCCCTTCACTTTCTGTCTGTGATTTTATAGATAAAGTGAGTTTCTCACAGTCAGTATATAGGTGAGTCATATTTATTTTATCCATTCAACCAGACTGTATCTTTTAAGAGAGGGATTTGGCTGTTTACATTCAAAGTTATTATTAATAGGTGAGGATTTATTCCTAATCTGTTAATTTTTTGTATGGTTGTTTTATATCCTTTTTCTTTTCTCTTATCATTTGGTTTGGTGGTTTTATGTAATGGTTACATCTGAGTCCTTTCTCTTTCCATTGGTATATCTGCTCTACCAGTGAGCTTATTTTCATTTGTTTAATGATGGTAGATATGTCTTTCACTTCCAGATGTAGGACACCCTTTGCCATTTTTGATAGGGTCACCCTAGTTGTGACAAATGTTCTCTGTTTTTGCTTCTCTGGGAAAAACTTTCTCCTTCATTTTTGAAGGATGGCTTTGCTAGGTATAGTATTCTTGGCTGACAGTGCTTTTTCTTTTAGCACTTTGAATATCTCATCCCATTCTTTCCTGGCATGGAAGGTTTCTGCCAAGGTATCTGCTACTAGTCTGATGAGGGTTCTCTTATATGTGACTTGATGCCTGAGGGTTCCCTTATATGTGACTTGATGCTTTTCTCTTGCTTTTTTTAGAATTCTCTTTGTCTTTGACTTTTGACAGTTTGACTGTAATGGACCTTAGAAGACCTTTTTGGATTGAATCTATTTGGGCATCATTGAGCCTTCTGTATCAGGATGTCTGTATTGCTTACAAGACTTGGAAAGTTTTCAGTTATTATTTTGTTAAATAGGTTTTTATGCCTTTGCCCATCTCTTCTCCTTCTAGAATACCCAAAATTTGAATATTTGGTTGCTTTATGATGTCCCATATGTCACCTAAGCTTTCTTCAGTTTTAAAAATTATTTATTATTTTTTACTTTTGTCTTCCTGGATTATTTTTAAAAACCTGTCTTCAAGTTCAGAAATTCTTTCTTCTGCTTAATCTAGTCTATTGTTGAAGCTCTCTCAATTGTGTTTATTTCATTAATTGAAATTTGTCAGCTTCAGGACTTCTGTTTGGTTCTTTTTCGTGATATCTATCTGCTGAATTTCTCATTCAGATCATGAATTGTTTTTCTGATTCTTTTGGTATTTATCCATGTTCTATTGGGTCCCACTGAGCTTCTTTAATATCATTATTTTGAATTCTTTTTCAGGTACTTGATAGATTTATTGTTTGTTGGAATCTGTTGCTGGAGAATTAATTGTGTTACTTTGGAGATGTCATGGTTCCATGCTTTCTCATGTTTCTTTTATCCTTACATTGATATCTATGTATTTCTTGTTCTGGTCATTTTTTCCAATTTTATGGATTTGTTTTCATAAGGAAAACCTTTTTCCTGTACATGTATTTATAGTGTTGGTTGGGTAGGTTGTTTTGGCTTTGTTCTAGGTGGATGCAGTGGTATAATCTCCACATGATTTCTTTGGCTGCAATCAGTGGCAGCAGTGTCTGTGAGTTCCTCAGTGACTTAGGGTTTGGTTGTTAGTGGAAGCTGTGATGAGGCTTTTCTGGGATAGGGATGCCAGCTATGCTGGTCTGTAGGCCCCAGTGGTGTTGATGATAGCCTGGGCATGCTGGATCATGGGGCCCAAGGTGGTGTATTCAGACACTTGGTAGCTGCTCCATGAAGGTTGATCCCTGGGCCTCCAGATTGCTTGCTCAGGTGCTGGCAGTAGCAGCAGTGGGCCAGGAAGGAAGGCAGGTCCTTGGGCTCCTTGTTGGCATGTATGGCATTGATTATGACAATAACATTAGTTAGCCAACTCTTTGGGCTTTGAAGCAACATATGCAGGCACCAGCAGTGGCAATGGCAAGCTGAATGGGCCAGTCTCTGTTCCTCTAGGTGGTGTGTACATTTTGATGCTTGCAGTGGTGTTGGCAGCAGGCTAGGCTGGCCTGTCCTCGGGTCACTGGCAGGGGTGTATGGATGCTAGTGATGGTGGGTGGGCTGAGTCAATCCCTGGGCTCCCAAACGATAGATGGTGGGCACTGGCAGGCTAAGAAAGCCCATAATTAGGCCCCCAGAAGACATGTTCAGGCATTGGTGGGAGTGTGAGGAGTGAATTCATCCCCACACCCCTGGACATTGCATATAGGCAGTGGCAGGGGCAGTACCAGGCATGGAAACCCTGTCTTCTCACCCTCCGAGTGGTGCATGTGGATTCAGGCTATGGTGGGTAGGGTAAGTCAATTCCCATGCCCCCAGACACCATGCTCGGACCTTGGTGGCACATTGGCTCTGCCTTTCCTCATTTGCGGGGATGGTTGGTGCATGTGGGCACCAGCAATGGCCAGCAAGGTCAGTCGATTCCCAAACCCTCAGATGATGTGCGGAGGCAGCAGCTTTGGTGGGCCAGGTAGGCTTGATGTTAGGCCCTTTGATGCTGCCCAGCACTAGTCTTAAGGCCCCTGAAGGCACTTGCAGATGCATAGGGACCCAGCTGCTTGGAAGTAGTGGTGTTCCTGTCAGTGGTAGTGGCCCCAGGCAGGTGACTCTCAGGCTCTGGGGAGCACACACTTCAGCTCCCGCTGTCCCAAAGGCAGCTTCCAACTCTGTTGTACTGCTCATTCCCCAGGGTGTAGGACTCTGAGTGCTGGACTGGAGTACTGGGGACCTAGCCACACCAATGGTTCTAGCCATCATTGCAGTGCTGTAACCCTCTACATGGACATGGGGAGAAGCCAGCGGAGCTCCATGGATGTAGAGATGGAAGAACTGTTGAGTCCCTGGGCAGGATGTAGTCTGGTGGGAGCTGGGCTCCCAAAATGACACCATGCTGCAGTTGCCTGGGTTTGGGGAGGGACCCAGCATGAACTCTCTATCTAGAACAGTATTGTGTAGACACTGGGCAGCTCCCTTTACTAGTCTTAGGGCCATGAGGGCTGAGGGGCTGTTTTGTGGCTAGGATTGCAGGAGTCCACAGTGGGAATGTGGTCTCCCTTACCTTTCCCCTGGGCTCCAAGCTGATCCTGGCCAGGCCAACTGCTTTGCTTCTCTCTTTGTGCCTCAGAGGTTCCCTGTTACTTCCCTGCTGAATTCCAGTGCTCTGTCATAGATGCTTAGTTTGGTGTGTGATTATCTACTCGCTGTTTTGGTCCTTCTTTGTGGAGGAGGTAAATGCTGGGTGCCTCTAGTCATCCATCTTGTAACTCCACTCTAAAAATGTATTCTTGAGAACAATAAATCTAGACTCATTTATTGCCTCAGTAATTCTTTTTTTTTTTTTTTTTGAGACGGAGTCTCGCGCTGTCGCCCAGGCTGGAGTGCAGTGGCCAGATCTCAGCTCACTGCAAGCTCCGCCTCCCGGGTTTGCGCCATTCTCCTGCCTCAGCCTCCCGAGTAGCTGGGACTACAGGCGCCCGCCACCTCACCCGGCTAGTTTTTTGTATTTTTCAGTAGAGACAGGGTTTCACTGTGTTAGCCAAGATGGTCTCGATCTCCTGACCTCATGATCCGCCCGTCTCGGCCTCCCAAAGTGCTGGGATAACAGGCTTGAGCCACCGCACCCGGCTGCCTCAGTAATTCTTTAGGTAGTTTGCCAGGAGCTGAGTATATATTAGTGAAAACATAAAACATTTCTTGATTTTGTTGGATCTATGCAGATTATATAATATTACAAATAATAAGTGCTATTAATAAGAAATAGCAGGAAGATCTGAGGCCTAATAACAGGAAGACCATAATTTAGACTGAAGATCAGTTATGGCCTTCTAGAGATATGCTGTTTGAGCAGAGGCTCAAATGATGAGCAGCAATTAGCAGGGTCAACAATGGTGATAGGATGAGGGGTATGCCAGGTAAAGGGGAGATGTGTGTGGAAAGGCCCTGAGAGGCAGGGAGAACTTGATGTGCTTGACGGACTGAGGCTTCTTGAGCAAGTGGAAGTGGAGTATAACACAAGGTTGAAGAGGTAGGTAAGAGCCTCATTATTGGAGTCTTCTTGGTAATTACCAAGGAGTTTAGATTTTCAGTAGGGCAAAGCGAGACAAAATACCACACCAGTTGCTGAATGGATTAGAGGGTGCTGGAACATACTGGGGAGACCATTAGGAGATTCCTGTAGTGGTCTAGGAAAGAGGGGATTCAATAATTAAATAAGGACAACTTTAAGAGATTTTTAGGGACTCACCCAGACTAAGTTTGGCCAATGATCATGTGGAGGGAGGACTTGAGATAGTCTAGCTGGCTTTATTTTGATGTCTTCAAGCCACTTCATTTGCTCAGTATCTGTTTTTGCTATGGCATTCTTTCATAATAATAGCTACCAATACTGAGTGCTTACTTTACATCAGATTATTTACATACATTATTCTTCATCTTTTTAGCAATCATGAGTTAAGTGTCATTCCCATTTCAATAAACAAGGAACAGAGGGCTCAGAGGTTAAGTAATTGCCTTAAAGCATAGAACTGGGGCTCACAGTTTATATGTTGACATGGACTTCCTTTCTTCTCATAGAGTACATTTCATCCTGTCTTAACTCTCTTGTGTCTCAAACTTGAGCTGTCTTCCTTCTCAGTCACTGCTATGACTTGAATGATTCATTTCTTTCTCCCAAGGTCAACATCACAGAATTCCAGAGCAAATTATTTTCAGTGAGTCCCTAACCCATATCATGCTTTATGCACAGAAGAGATTTACCTGTCTACTCTTCCCACCAGTTGTGTTCAGCATATTACATTTGTTGGAGGCTAGTGATTTGCCAGTATACCCTTGCACAGTCACTGAACTCCACCCACCCCTGCCATTTAAGCCTTTCAACACATTTATTATTCTTAATAGTCCTTTGATGAGGTCTGACAATTATCTACAAATTGCAAAACATACAGTATCATGCTCTGTGTATGTGACTATATGTTTATACATGTATATATAATTAGAATCTCTTACTCACGGTGCATGCCCTGGAGCAGAGGCGGCATCCTGCTGGCCTGTCCTCCTCCATGGCCCTCCAGCTGAACCCCTGCCAGGCCATGCTAATGGCCTTGCAGTCGGAGCGCCACGAGCTGTATGATGAGGAGACACAGAGCTGGGTCTCAGGCAGCGTCTGTAGGAGATCTGGGGTGGGGGCAAATAAAAATAAAAATAAAAAATTTGGATCTCTCTATAATATGGAAGATGGTGCTGAACACTGTGTATTCACCAAGGCTTAAGGTGACTGTGGTTCAGACCAAAATTTGAGGATCATAGAGGTCATCTACTTTCCAAATCCATATCCTCAGCTTCTTTTATTACCTCTCCTAACGTCTATGCTTTTCTTGTCAATTTTACAGATTGCCTAGCCACCTTTGAAAACTAAATGTATAATTTCTCAGATATTCTTTTCAGTTTAATCCTCCCATTTCATTTTTAGAAGTTTTAACTCGCTCAGAATAGGAAAATGTATTTGCCTTTGTATTTTCTTTCAGATCTGGAATCAATGTGTGAGACCAAGATATTATCTCTAAAGAAGAGACATTTCAGTCAAGTAATACTTACCCATGAAGACATAACTACTTTTATTCAGCCCACATTTCTTACTCAACCTCAAAAAACTATGAGTGAAGAGAAACCATGGGAATGTAAGATATGTGGAAAGACTTTTAATCAGAAATCACAATTTATTCAACATCAGAGAATTCATTTTGATGAAAAACCCTATGAATCTAAGGAGTGTGGGAAGTCCTTTAGTCGTGGCTTACTCGTTACTCGACATCAGAGGATTCACACTGGTAAAAAACCCTATGAATGTAAGGAATGTGGCAAGGCTTTTAGTTGTAGTTCATATTTTTCTCAGCATCAGAGGATTCACACTGGTGAGAAACCCTATGAATGTAAGGAATGCGGAAAAGCCTTTAAGTATTGCTCAAACCTTAATGATCATCAGAGAATTCACACTGGTGAGAAACCCTATGAATGCAAAGTATGTGGAAAAGCCTTTACTAAAAGTTCACAACTTTTTCTACATCTGAGAATTCATACTGGTGAGAAACCTTATGAATGTAAAGAATGTGGGAAAGCCTTTACTCAACACTCAAGGCTTATTCAGCATCAGAGAATGCATACTGGTGAGAAACCTTATGAATGTAAGCAGTGTGGGAAGGCCTTTAATAGTGCCTCAACACTTACTAACCATCACAGAATTCATGCTGGGCAGAAGCTCTATGAATGTGAAGAATGTAGAAAGGCCTTTATTCAGAGCTCAGAACTTATTCAACATCAGAGAATCCATACAGATGAAAAACCATATGAATGTAATGAATGTGGAAAGGCCTTTAATAAAGGCTCAAACCTTACTCGACATCAGAGAATTCACACTGGTGAAAAGCCCTATGACTGTAAGGAATGTGGAAAGGCTTTTGGTAGTCGCTCTGACCTCATTCGCCATGAGGGAATTCATACTGGTTGAATGACAGAAAGCAAAGTAAGACCGTTTTGTTAACCTTTATAATATATATATATTTTAAACAGGTAATGAGAACAAATTAGGATACACATTATCAAAGGTTCTCCTACATAATAGTTTTTAAAGGATACAATAACAAAGTACCAAGTACCAAAAACTTGGTGACTTAAAACAAGATAAATTTATTCTCTTACAGTTTAGAGCCTGGAAATCTAAAATCAAGGGTGCTGACAGTTTGGGTTCCTTCTGAGGTCTCTGAGTGAGGATCTGTCCTATGCCTTTTTCTTAACCTCTGTTAACAGCTGGCAGTCCTTGGCATTCCTTGGCTTTTACATACATCATTCCAATGTCTGCCTCCATCTTCACATTGCATTCTCCCTGTGTATCTCTGTGTATGTCTTTTCTTTTATTTGGACACCAGTCAGGTTAGATTGGGGTTACCTGGTGACCTCATCTTAACTTGATTACATCTGTCAAGACCCTATTTCCCAGTAAGGTCACATTTACCGGTACCAGGGGTTAGGTCTTCAGCATATCTTTTTAGGGGACACAGTTCAACCCATAATACCCTGTTAGAATGATTTTGTCTAATATATTTGTAATTTCCTTTTACATATAAATTGTTAGTCAAATATATTTTTATATTATTTTATTTTATTTTACTTTATTTTGAGACAGAGTCTTGCTCTGTTGCCCAGGCTGGAGTGCAGTAGTGCAGTCTCAGCTCACTGCAACCTCCGGCTCCTGAGTTCAAGTGATTCTCGTGCCTCAGCCTCCCAAGTAGCTGGGATTACAGGCATGTGCCACCATGCCCGGCTAATTTTTTTTTTTTTGTATTGTTAGTAGAGATGGGGTTTCACCATGTTGGCCAGGCTGGTCATGAACTCCTGACCTCAAGTGATCTGCCCGCCTCGGCCTCCCAAAGTGCTGGGATTACAGACATGAGGCACCGTGATGGCCAAAACAGACTTTATACCAACAAAAATTAAAAAGGACAAAGGAGGTCATTTATAATGATAAAGGATAAATTCAACAAGATAAAACAATCCTAAATATGTATGCACCCAACATTGCAACACCCAGATCCATAATACAAATACTACTAGACCTAAGAAAAGAGATAGACAGCAATACAACAATAGCAGGGGACTTCAGCACTCCATTGACAGCACTAGACAGATCACTGGGACAGAAATCAACAAAGAAACTCTGGACTTAAATTGGACTCTAGACCAAACGAACCTAACAGACATCTGAAGAACATTCTACCCAACAATCACAGAATATATACTCTTCTCTTCTGTGCATGGAACATTCTCAAAAATAAGTCATATGCTGGACCACAAAGCAAGTATCAATAAATTAAAAAAAAACAAAATCATATCTAATATCTTCTCTGACCACAGTGGAATAAAAGTAGATATCAATACCAAGAGGAACTCTCAAAACTATACAGTTACATGGAATTTAAACAGCTTCCTCCTGAATGATTGTTGGGTCAATGATGAAACTAGGGTGGAAACTTAAAATTTTTTGAAATAAATGAAAATAGAGACACAACACACGAAAACATCTGAGATATAGCAAAAGCAGTGCTAAGAGAGGATTTTATAGCATTAAATGCCTATACCAAAAAGATAGGAAAATCTCAAATGAATAGCCTAACGTCACATTTCAAGGAACTAGAAAAAAACAAAACAAACCCAACTCAAAGCTAGCAGAAGACAAGCAATAACAAATATCAGAGCAGGCGAAAATGAGACTGAGAACAAAAGAATGCAAAAGATCAATAAAAGAAAAAGTTGCTTCTTTGCAGAGGTAAAACTGACACCACTAGCTAGATTAACCAAGAAAAAAAGAAGGTTCAAATAAATACAATCAGAAATAATAAGGTGACATTAAAACTGATAACACAGACATATAAAAAATCAGCAGACTATATGCACATATTAGAAAACCTAGAGGAAGTGGATAAATTCCTGGAAACACATAACCTTCCAAGATTGAACCAGGGAGAACTAGGAATCCTCAACAGACTACTAATGAGTATTGAAATTGAATCAGTAATAGAAGAAATTTTGCAACAACAAAAAGCCCAGGACCAGACAGATTCACAGCTGAATTCTACTAGACAGGCAAGGAAGAACTTGTACTAGCACTATTGAAACTATTCCAAAAATTATAGGAAGGAATCCTCCCTAACTCATTTTGCAAAGCCAGTGTCATCCTGGTACTGAAGCCAGGCAAGGGTAAAACACACAAAATAACTACAAGCCAATATCTCTGATGAACATAGACATCAAAACCTTCAGCAAAATACTAGCAAACCAAATCAAACAGTATGTAAAAAAGATAGTAACAGCACAGTCGAGTGGATTTTATTCCAGGGGTGTAAGGATGGCTCAACATATGCAACTCAATACATGATTCATCACATAAACAGAATTAAGAAACAAGCCAGGCATAGTGGCTCACGCCTGTAATCCCAGCACTTCATGAGGCCAAGGTGCGCAGATCACCTGAGGTCAGGAGTTTGAGACCAGCCTGGCTGACATGGTGAAACCCCGTCTGTACTAAAAATAGAAAAACTGGCTGGGCGTGGTGGCGGGCGCCTGTAGTCCCAGCTACTTGGGAGGCTGAGGTAGGAGAATTGCTTGAACCTGAGAAGCGGAGGTTGCAGTGAGCTGAGATAGTGCCATTGCACTCCAGCCTGGGCAACAGAGCAAATAGCTTGAATGTGGGAGGTGGAGGTTGCAGTGAGCCAAGATTATGTCCTTGCCCTCCAGCCAGGGGGCAATAGAGCGAGACTCCATTTCAAAGAAAACAACAACGACAAAAAAACTTCCTATTGAGTACAATGTACGTTATTTAGGTAATGGGTACATTAAAAGCCAACACTTTCCCCACTACACTATATATGTATGTAACACAGCTGCCCTTGTAACTTCCTAAACCTATAAAAATTTTTTAAAATTAAGAATTAATAAAAGGCAAATTAAGAATGCTTTTTTAAAAGGTTGGGGCATTATGCCAATAAGGTACTGTGGATTTCAGAGTGCAGAGTAGAAAGATCACAAGAATTTAGTGTGGTAGGCCGGGCGCGGTGGCTTAAGCCTGTAATCTCAGCACTCTGGGAGGCCGAGACGGGCGGATCACGAGGTCAGGAGATCAAGACCATCCTGGCTAATACGGTGAAACCCCGTCTCTACTAAAAAAATACAAAAAACTAGCCGGGCGAGGTGGCGGGCGCCTGTAGTCCCAGCTACTCGGGAGGCTGAGGCAGGAGAATGGCGTAAACCCGGGAGGCGGAGCTTGCAGTGAGCTGAGATCCGGCCACTGCACTCCAATCCGGGCGACAGAGCGAGACTCCATCTCAAAAAAAAAAAAAAAAAAAAATTTAGTGTGGTAGATGGGAACAGAAAATGGGTGTATAAATCTTATTGAAGTTAGAGCCCTGGGTTGAGGAATGACGTGGGAGTACTGGATATTGTAGAGACAGATATCATCAGGGCAAAGAGATTAAAGATTTTTGCCTTGACGGTTTCACACTATATTGTGATAGTAACACTGTATGTGTTGGGAGATAGAGCAGGAAACATCTTCTCTGGAATATGTATGCTATTAAATGTTTTATCAAATTTGATCAAACAAGACAGAAGAACAATTTACAATT